TCACAGGTCCCTTCCACACAGCTGCATAAAATCCACATTGAACTGGATGATTTGGCAGTGTGGACTCAGTTCAAAGCAGATATTGTGGATTATCTGCCTTGATATTCTGGATTATATGGCTTTGTTGAAGGACCCACAGCAAAAGGATTGCAATGATGCATTGGGGTCAATAAGGAAAAAAAAGTGTGTGGTTTGCCATCTTCCTAGAACTGGTTGAAAGAAGTTGTTTGGAAATGTAGTCTTATGGGTCAGACAATGAGAACATAATAAGCCAGATGCCGTTGTGTTTGTGAAAAACAGAGACTGGATCCTAGGAGTGGCAATCCCCGGGGATCTGAGGGATCAAAGGCAAAGAGAAGGAAGAGACGGGGAAATATTCAAACCTATGAGTTGCAACATCAGGAGAAAGAAGAAAACAAGCCAGAATTAATCATAGAATCCTAGAGTTGGAAGAGACCTCATGGGCCATCTAGTCCAACCCCATTCTGCCAAGAAGCAGGAAAATTGCATTCAAAGCACCCCAACAGATGGCCATCAAGCCTCTGTTTCAAAGCCTCCAAAGAAGGAGCCTCCACAACACTCCAGGGCAGAGAGTTCCACTGCTGAACAGCGGGGTGCGTGGCTCGAGAGCAGTATCTTTGAGTCCTCGTGGACAACAAGTTAAACATGAGCCAACAATGTATGTGGCCGGCAAAAAAAAGCCAATGGATTTTGGCCTGCATAAGTAGGAGTATGGTATCTAGATCCAGGGAAGTCATGCTACCCCTCTATTCGGCCTTGTCAGACCACACCTGTGTCCAATTCTGGGCCCCGCAATTGAAGGAGATGTTGACAAGCTGGGATGTGTCCAGAGGAGGGTGACTAAAATGATCAAGGGTCTGGATAACAAGCCCTAGGAGGAGTGGCTGAGCATGTTTAGCCTGAGAGGAGACATGATGGCCATGTATAAATATGTGATAGAAATGTAATATAATTTGACTGGTTGTCCTGACACGACAAATAAATACAGGAAAGGAGATTCCACCTGAACATTAGGAAGAACTTCCTAACTATGAGAGCCATCAGCAGTGGAACTCTGCTCCGGGGTGTGGTGGAGGCTCCTTCTTTGGAGGCTTTTAAACAGCGGCAGGATGGCCATCTGTTGGGGGTGCTTTGAATGCAATTTTCTTGCTTCTTGGCAGGGGATTGGACTGAATGACCCACGAGGTCTCTTGCAAATCTAGGATTCTATTATTCTTCCTAACGTTCTGGTGGAATCTCCTTTCCTGTAGTTTGAAGCCATTTTATAGTCCAAATTTCGTGTCAATTTGTCCAGTGGTTTTTGAGTTCTGTTCATCCCACAAATGGAACATTACATTTTTATTTATATAGATAGCACCTTTTCCCCTTAAGTGAAAGTGCTGGTGCCTCACCAAACTACAAATCCTAAACCTTCATAACATTGAGCCATGGTGGTTCAGGTGGTGTTGAACTGAATTCATTCCACACTGTTAGATGCAACCTGTTGCTATACTTACTATTAGTATATTTATGTGTGTGTATGTATGCATATATATATATATACGCGCACACACACACACACACCACTTTTTCCCCTTAAGTGAAAGTGCTGAACACAATACAATACCTAAAAACTACAAACATTAAGTTAGAATGGAAACAAGAACTATCTAAAAATGCAAACTATTTCAAATGCATAAGGCACCATGCAACGTCCCATAGGACCAGCTGGAGCATTTGATGAAGTCATTCCCGTGCTTTGCCCATCTGTGGCTCCAGACAGACAGCGCTGAGACAGGAACCCAATGGCGGTGGCCATAGGGGAGGGCGTGAGGAATTAACCGAAAAATGGTTTGCAAAAAAAGGAGCAGAAGAAATTGCATGATTCATAGCAAATGCATGTCTTCCAAAGCCTGGCCTCTGGAAAAAGCAGACCAGGGAAGGCCAGCTCAGCAGAGACACACACAGGGAGATATCCTGGCCTGCTTTTGTGGTATGCATCACTATGAGATAATGCTGCCACGCCACTCCATGTAAGGCAGTTCTTCAGCTTGACCCATTTGATGTGGTTTTTTGTGGGGAGTAGAGCAGAAACATGGCTGGCTGTCTTTGAGTGGGGTGCCTTTCTCATTTTAGGAAGATGTTTTGTTGTCAACATATGTGCATTTATGTGTGACTTCCAGTCAATAGAAGCATAACAACCCTCTGAGGTCATCTAGTCAATCCCTCTGGTAGCCAGGAAGGCACAATCAGAGGCGGCCCTAGGTAATTTTCAATGGTAAGCAAACAGTATTTTGCCCCCCCCCCCAACCAATCATTGATATATATTTTCTGTTCGTCGTGGGAGTTCTGTGTGCCATATTTGGTTCAATTCCATCATTGGTGGAGTTCAGAATGCTCTTTGATTGTAGGTGAACTATACATCCCAGTAACTACACTTGCCGCATTTGCTCCCTTGCCTGGCCCGCTTTGGGTCCGGAGGCATGCCTGAAGACCCCGGCGTGTGCACCAAAAGTCACCTCTTCTCCTGACTTTCTCCTCAGCCATTGGGACTGAGAGAGAGAGAGAGAGAGAGAGGTGGAGATGCCCACCTTTCCTGAAGGTAGGCGCAAAAAAAAGGAGGGAGCGGAGGTGGGAGATACCTCCAGCCGGAGGGGCTCTCTCTCTCTCTCTCTCTTGGTCCCAATGGCTGAAGAGAAAGTCAGGAGAAGAGGTGACTTTTGGTGCGCACGCTGGGGTCTTCAGACATGCCTCCGGACCCGAAGCGGGCCAGGCACGGCAGCTCCGCCCCTTGGCCACCCGCGGATTGGGGAGAGGAGAGGAGGCGGGTGGAGCGCCAGGGGATCGGGAAAGGGGAAGGGATCGAACGCGGAGAACGATTGAGCGCCGGCTCTGCTCGCGCACCCGGTGGCCGGGTGGAGCAGGAACGAGAGGGGCTAGGCGAGGCTCAAGGGCCCGGCCCCTTTGGGAAGAGGATCACCCGGCAGCGAGGCAAGAAAGCCGAGGCTCCCCCCGGACTGCTAGGGCTGTTGTGAGCTGAGGGGGCGCTCCTCAAGTGGCGGTCGAGGGGCATTTACAGAGGCGCCTCTGCGCCCCTGGCAAAAAAAAGTGTTCTGCGACCGCTTACTTCGCGTAATGGACGAGCCGCCCCTGGGCACAATCAAAGCTCTCCTGACCGGTGGCCATCCAGAGAATGAGACTACTGTTTTCCAAGGAAGCCTATCCTCTAACAGTTCTAATCATCAGAAGTTCCTCATGTTTAGGTGGAATGTTTAGGTGGAATTTCTCTTCCTAAAGCTTGATTGCATTGTATTGTCGAAGGCTTTCATGGCTGGAATCACTGGGTTGTTGTAGTTTTTTTCAGGCTATATGGCCATGGTCTAGAGGCATTCTCTCCTGACGTTTTGCCTGCATCTATGGCAAGCATCCTCAGAGGTAGTGAGGTCTGTTGGAACTAGGAAAATGGGTTTATATATCTGTGGAAAGACCAGGGTGGGACAAAGGACTCTTGTCTAACCACCTTGATTAGCATTTGATAATCTGGCAGTGCCTGGAGCAATCTTTTGTTGAGAGGTGATTAGATGTCCCTGATTATTTTCCCTCTGCTGTTTTGCTGTTTTAATTTTACAGTTTTTTTTAATACTGGTAGCCAGACTTTGTTCATTTTCATGGTTTCCTCCTTTCTGTTAAAATTTTCCACATGCTTGTGGATTTCAGTGGCTTCTCTGTGTGGTCTGACATGTGGTTGTTAGAGTGGTCCAGCATTTCTGTGTTCTCAAATAATATGCTGTGTCCAGGTTGGTTCATCAGGTGCTCTGCTATGGCTGACTTCTCTGGTTGAAGTAGTCTGCAGTGCCTTTCATGTTCCTTGATTTGTGTTTGGGCAATGCTGCTGCGTTTGGTGGTCCCTATGGAGACTTGTCCACAGCTGCATGGGATACGGTAGAATTGCTATGTGTAATTGTACAGAATTGTATATAAGGAAGTCATGTACAGTGTATATTTCTCTCCTTGTGCTGTGATGCTGTTGTTTGTCGAAGGCTATATGTAATTGATTAAAAGAACCTGTCTGCTAAGACAAGATATAACTGTATGCTGTGGTAAGTTTGTAATGTCATCTAGACTGGGGGAAAGACAATGGTAAAACTGACAATGGCCGGGGATGTGCTCAAGTGTCTGTAAAAGGTTCCAGCGTGACTGCAGGCTGTGGGAGCAGTTGACTGAAAATACTGTGCAGAAGAAGCTACTGGAAAGCGCTGAAGTTGTGCAACTGATCTGCTGCTGAATTGTGAAGTTAATCTCAACATTGGTTAAGGTGCATCAGCTTCGACATTATGCCTGTTAGCTTCCTAAAACCTTCTCTCTCGTCTTTTCTGTCTGCAGAAGGCTGCTGTCCCCAGACTACACAGAGACGCATTATACACAAGAAGGGCAGATGGTGACCATATCACCCAACCACACAGTAAGTAAGACCCATGGTGTTGTGAAGGTCATAGTTAGAGTTGTAGCATTGATTAAGCATTTTTGGAGAGGCTGAAAATGTTGTTGGATATGTCGACAGTTTGACTTGTGCTGTCAATACATGTACAGTCAGTGCTGAAAAAGGTATGACGTGCCCCTCTTTTGGAGTTTAAGATGAATGCCTGGATTTGTATAGATATAATAAGATCTCCCATATTGATGAAGGATACAATCCCCTGAAACCATGCATATTTATTTATCGTGTCAGGAGCAAAGCAAACAGTAGTATTGCATTTTTTAACAAACAAACAAACAAGGCACAAAGTTTGCAAGCTTGGTAGTTGATTAAATGTCCTTTGACCAGTATCTGGCCACTTGGAGTGCTTCTGGTGTTGCCGCAAGGAGGTCCTCCATTGTGCATGTAGCAGGGCTCAGGTTGCATTGCAGCAGGTGGTCTGTGGTTTGCTCTTCTCCACACTCGCATGTCGTGGATTCCACTTTGTAGCCCCATTTCTGAAGGTTGGCTCTGCATCTCGTGGTGCCAGAGCGCAGTCTGTTCAGCGCCTTCCAAGTCGCCCAGTCCTCTGTGTGCCCAGGGGGGCGTCTCTCATTTGGTATCAGCCATTGGTTGAGGTTCTGGGTTTGAGCCTGCCACTTTTGGACTCTCGCTTGCTGAGGTGTTCCAGCGAGTGTCTCTGTAGATCTTAGAAAACTATTTCTTGATTTAAGTCGTTGATGTGCTGGCTGATACCCAAACAGGGAATGAGCTGGAGATGTTCTGCCTTGGTCCTTTCACTATTGGCTGCTACTTCCCGGCGGATGTCAGGTGGTGCAATACTGGCTAAGCCGTGTAATTTCTCCAGTGGTGTAGGGCGCAGACACCCCGTGATAATGCAGCATGTCTCATTAAGAGTCACATCCACTGTTTTAGTGTGGTGAGATGTGTTCCACACTGGGCATGCATATGACCCAACGCCAATAAATGACCTGTTTCTGGTGCCAGCATTGCACTGGAGGAGACAGAAATTCCTAGGGTGCATTGCTGAATTAATGCAGTTTGACACCACTTTAACTGTCCCAAAACTATGACACCCTAGGAATTGCACTTTGGGGAGGTACCCGTATTTTAGATTAAACAGTCCATGTAAAACTGCAACTCCCAGGATACGCTACCATTGAGCCTCATAGAGGAATGAGAAAACTGTTGACCTCTGAGAATGTTTGCCATAGACGCAGGCAAAACATCAGGAGAAAATGCTTCTAGAACATGGCCATATAGCCCCCAAAACCTTCAACAACCTAGTGACTCTGCTGTGAGCCTTCAAGTCATTTCTGACTCAGGACAGCCGTATAAATTAACACATCAAAGGGTTTTTCTGCCAGGATTTGTCGAGAAGGGGGTTGCCTTTGTCTTCCTTTGAGGCTGAGAGAGTGTGACTCACCCAAGGTTTGCATGGCCAATTAGAGATCTGAACCCTAGTCTTCAGAGTCCAGCACCCAAACTAGTGAAAATACTCGAATATTAATTCAGAACAAGTTGGGGTGGCTTCCCCCACAAAAAATCAGCTCATTGAAGCAGTTGCCTCATTCTGTTGGAAAGCCCAGAGCTAGCAGATGGTTGGGAATGGTGGAGTAAGATGCACAAAGGCTTCATGGAGAGGGTAAACAAATCCAGGGTTTAAGGAAATCCCATCCCCATTGAGGATGGGTGAAACATGGCACACAAAGACTTCTTTGAGATGATAAAGCCATTGGAATCTCTAGCAAACTGCTTAGGAATGACATGATTCATTTTTCAAGGTTAGTCATTCCAAAGCAATGCCTGAATTTCCTTAACAGTTATCTTAGATTTGCATCTACGCTCCAGCATGAATGTGGTCGCACCCCACTTTTAACTGCCCAATGCTATCAATCCTTGGAGTTGTAGTTTGGGGAGGCACCAACACTTTTGTGCAGAGAAGGTGAAAAACTTTGTAAAATGACAGCTCCCAGGATTCTATGGAATTGAGCCATGGCTGTTGAAGTAGGGTTAAATTGCATTCATTCTACAGTGCAGATGCAGGTAAAGGTGAAGCTTTTCCTCTGACATTAAGTCATGTCAGACTCTGCAGGTTGGTACTCATCTCCATATCTAAGCCCAGGAGCTGGCGTTGTCTGTAGATGATGCACTCCAGAACAGTAATAACCCTCTGACTTTAAAACATCACACATTGAGTAGGAAAACAATCCTTTTTTACTTTATTTATTTCTCGTGTCAGGGCAGCCAGTCAGTTATATTACATTTCTAACAGAACAAAGCAAACAAACAGAGAAAATACAAAATGTGTGAGTTTGGTAGTTGATTAAATGTCCTTTGACCAGTATCTGGCCACTTGGAGTGCTTCTGGTGTTGCTGCAAGAAGGTGTGCATGTGGCAGGGCTCAGGTTGCATTGCAGCAGGTGGTCAGTGGTTTGCTCTTCTCCACACTCGCATGTCGAGGATTCCACTTTGTAGCCCCATTTCTCAAGGTTGGCTCTGCATCTTGTGGTGCCAGAGCGCAGTCTGTTCAGCGCCTTCCAAGTCGCCCAGTCCTCTGTGTGCCCAGGGGGGAGTCTCTCATTTGGTATCAGCCATTGGTTGAGGTTCCGGGTTTGAGCCTGCCACTTTTGGACTCTCGCTTGCTGAGGCGTTCCAGCGAGTGTCTCTGTAGATCTTAGAAAACTATGTCTGGATTTAAGTCGTTGACGTGCTGGCTGATACCCAAACAGGGGATGAGCTGGAGATGTCTCTGCCTTGGTCCTTTCACTATTGGCTGCTACTTCCCGGCGGATGTCAGGTGGTGCAATACCGGCTAGACAGTGTAATTTCTCCAGTGGTGTAGGGCGCAGACACCCCGTGATAATGCGGCATGTCTCCTTTTTTACTGAAGATAAGTAAAAACAGCAAGGTAAAAATATGCTTTAAGAAAATAGATAAGTCCAATTAGGTAGGAAGATAAGCAGGAACAAAATATTCCAAGGTAGGGTTCAGCAAAGTTCAAAAGCAAAATCCAGACTTTTAATAAAATCCAAAGAACCAGGAAAACAGTGATCCACAGCATGAGTATACAATCACAAGAGACAAAGAGTCCAACCATAAACAAGAAATCCTTAACATGAATCTTTCAAGCAAGGCTTCCATGGGACAAGAACAAGGACTTAGCAGGATTCTGAAACGATGCTTCATCTGACTATATTTTCCATGGTGGGAACTTTATATCCTTCCCATGTTAAGCCATTCCAAGCGCTCAGAAATTGGTTTCGTTTTCCCTGAATGCCTCTCACCCCTATCTCTCGAAGCCTGGCAGAATGGCGAAGGCCTTGGATGAGCTGTCTGTTTTGGCTAATTTCCACCCGCCTGTCTATATGCTCATTAGTGTCTCCAGGTGCCAAGTTGTTTTCAAGCCCTAAATCCTGGGAACTCTCTGGGAGCAATTCAGGGAGTAAACTATCATCCCTATACCCTGTAGGAACATTCTCATGGGAAACTACACTTTGAACCGGTGTCCCTATGTCATTCTCTACATTGATATCATTGACCAGACCATCGCTATCTTGACCCTCAGTGACATCATTCCCCACATCTAAAGCACCTTGATCTTGAAACACAATCACAGGTTGAACTCCAACAGTAGACACCTCCAAGGTCATGTGCTGGCCTGACTGCATGGAGTGCTGTTACTTTCTCACCAGAGTGGTACCTATTGATCTACTCACATTTGCTTGTTTCAAACTGCTAGGTTGGCAGAAGCTGGACCTAACAGCAGGAGCTCACCCTGCTCCCCAGATTTGAACCTGTGATCTTTTAGTCAGCAAGTTCAGCAGCTCAGCGGTTTAACCTACTGCGCCATTGGGGGGGGGCAGATTCACCCACAGAGATGCTCTTTTAGGTGGCTCAGCTGTTCTTGGAATGGCTCCTTTTAATGTGCAAAGTGGATTCAATGTCTATACTCTGCACTGATGGAAAGACATGATTGCCTACGTTGGGAGTTCCAAGAAGAGCATGAAAACATGTTCTCTTTGCTACAAATTTTCACAACTGACCCATTGCATCTCCAGATTTGGTCAAGAACAAATAACCCTATGTAACAAAATTGGGGGGAAAATCTGTTCCTGGGTTAAAAGTGTTATTTCCTGTTTAATGGCATGGCACTTACTTTGAAAGTAGTTATTAGGCCTGGGCAACCACGGAAAAATTTGTTTCTAAAATCGATTCGTTTTTTGGGGGTTTTTGCGTTTCGATTTTTAAAAGAATTCCGAAATTTTCCTTTTAAAAAGTTCGATATTTATGAAATTTCGTAAATTACAAAACAATACGAAACAATTACGAAACAATAACGAATCGATTCGTTAATGGTGGACGCGACCGCGCAATACGCTAAAAAACCTCCAAATGGGACAGGGGGAACTTCTGAAGCTTCCCTCTCCCTCTGTTGTTGACTGTTGGTGTGATATTTATAATTTTTTTTCACTGATTAAACAAACAACAACTATAAAACTTGCCCCAGACATGCGGAAATAATAACGAAACGATTTCAAAACGATAACGAAACGAATACAAAACGAATTCGAAACAATTACGAAACAAATTTAAAAATTCGTTTCGTTTTTTAATTGCTCCTGAATGGTTCGTTATCGCTTCGTTATAAAAAAAAATAACGAATTTTTAACGAATTACGAAATTACGAAACGAAACCGCCCAGCCCTAGTAGTTATACTCCAGAAACTTTGTTTTTGTGGCTGCCACAATGTTGAATTGGTTGAAACTATATGAGATATTCAACTATAGCAAATAGTGTTGCAGGATGTCCTGCAATTTTTCCCTGTTTCTATGATAGAACCAATTAAGAAATAACATTTATAACCCAGGGAAAACATCGTGTTAAATAGTGCAATGGTGTGTCTTCGTTGTAGAATAAATGCAGATTGGCACCCTTTTAATTGCCTTGGCACAATGCAATGGATTCTTGGAAGCTGTAGTTTTGGGAAGTCTTTTGTCTTCTCTGTCAAGGAGTGCTGGTGTATACTATTTACAGCATAGACCAGGCATGGGAAAACTTAGGCCCTCCGGTGTTTTGGACTTCAACTCCCACAATTCCTAACAGCTATGGCATTAGGAATTGGAGTTGAAGTCCAAAATGGAAGGCCCAAGTTTGCCCATGCTGGTGTATACTAAGTTACTTTACATATAAATGAGAAGGTTTGTGCTACTGGAGAGAGAAAAAATGGAGCAGCTTCCCATAGAAGTGAATTGCTCCAGTTGGGAACCCTCTCCTGTATCCTCATTTAATGGAGTCTCAGCTTCCCATCATCCCCATCTTTTTTTGCCTCTGATTCCAGGAACACTGCTACTACCATGGCCATGTCCGAGGGTTCAAAGGCTCCTGGGTGGTGCTCAGTACGTGCTCTGGAATCAGGTAAGAAGTCGATGGAGTGGAGAGGCCAACGTATTATGAGAAGTCGATGGAGTGGAGAGGCCAACGTATCATTATCTGTTTTTTATATTATATTATATTTCATATATATAATCTATATATATAAAAATGCTCTGTGCGTAATGAGTACCTTAAAAACAAAAGAATCAATGAACAAAATCTCACCATATTTGGCAACAAAACATCTCACAACACAAGGAGTGACCATGACTCAAAAATTTGATTTTGTCATTTGGGAGTTGTAGTTGCTGGGATTTATAGTTCATCTACAAGCAAAGAGCATTCTGAACTCCACCAATGATGGAATTGAACCAAACATGGCATACAGGATTCCCATGACCAACAGAAAACACTAGAAGGGTCTGGTGGGCAGTGACATTGAGTTTGGGAGTTGTAGTTCACCTACATCCAGAGAGCACTGTGGACTCAAGCAGTGATGGATCTGGACCAAACTTGGCACGAATACTCCATATGCCCAAATATGAACACAGATGGAGTTTGGGGAAAATAGACCTTGATATTTGGGAGTTGTAGTTGCTGGGATTTATCGTTCACCTACACGCAAAGAGCATTCTGAATTCCACCAACAATGGACTTGAACCAAACTTGAACCAAACTTGCCACACAGAACTTGCATGACCAACAAAAGATACTGTGTTTTCTGATGGTCTTTGGCAAGCCCTCTAACACCCCTTTATGACCTCTGCAGGGGTCCCGACCCCCAGGTTGAGAAATGGTCCCTTAAGGCCATCCAGTCCAACTCCCTTCACCAGGGCAAGGAAACATAACCAAAGCCCTCCTGACAAAGAGCCATCCAGCCATAGGTATAGATAGATAGATATGATTCACACACACACACACATACGTATATGACAGCTATAATATCATAGATTTGAAAGGGACCCCTAAAGAAGGAAAATGATATGTCGAGTAGACAAACCAGACAATCTCTACATCAACACTGACAAATAAACAAGAAGAAATACTGTTTACCCACAAGCAGAAAGAAATTACATATAGTAGAAACCAACACTTTCTCATTACTTTATTTTCCAGATCACCAGACTGGGCCACAGCAACGCGTGGCAGGGGATGGCTAGTATTATATATAATATATTTATATGATATATATTATATTATATATCAAATTATATGAGGCTACACATTATCTGATATATTATATATCAGCTCTCTCATAGAATCATAGAATCAAAGAGTTGGAAGAGACCTCATGAGCCATCCAGTCCAATCCCATTCTGCCAAGAAGCAGGAATGTTGCATTCAAATCACCCCTGAGGGATGGCCATCCAGCCTCTGTTTAAAAGCTTCCAAAGAAGGAGCCTCCACCACACTCCGGGGCAGAGAGTTCCACTGCTGAACGGCTCTCACAGTCAGGAAGTTCTTCCTCATGTTCAGATGGAATCTCCTCTCTTGTAGTTTGAAGCCATTGTTCTGCGTCCTAGTCTCCAAGGAAGCAGAAAACAAGCTTGCTCCCTCCTCCCTGTGGCTTCCTCTCACATATTTATACATGGCTCTCATCATATCTCCTCTCAGCCTTCTCTTCTTCAGCTAAACATGCACAGCTCCTTAAGCCACTCCTCATAGGGCTTGTTCTCCAGACCTTTTATCATTTTAGTCGCTCTCCTCTGGACACATTCCAGCTTGTCAATATCTCTCTTGAATTGTGGTGCCCAGAATTGGACACAATATTCCAGGTGTGGTCTAACCAAAGCAGAATAGAGGGGTAGCATGACTTCCCTAGATCTGGACACTAGGCTCCTATTGATGCAGGCCAAAATCCCATTGGCTTTTTTTTGCCGCCACATCACATTGTTGGCTCATGTTTAACTTGTTGTCCACGAGGACTCCAAGGTCTTTTTCACACCTACTGCTCTCAAGCCAGGCATTGTCCCCCATTCTGTATCTTTGCGTTTCGTTTTTCCTGCCAAAGTGGAGTATCTTGCATTTGTCACTGTTGAACTTCATTTTGTTAGTTTTGGCCCATCTCTCTAATCTGTGAAGGTTTATCTTGGGTTCTGATCCTGTCCTCTGGAGTATTAGCAATTCCTTCCACTCTGGTGTCATCTGCAAATGTGATCAGCCTGCCTTCTATTCTTTCATCCAAGTCATTGATAGAGATCCAGGGCAAGACCCTCTTTATGGCCCCCCAAAAGTCACTTCTCTCCAAGAGGAAGAAAGAGGAGCCATTGGACAAAAGTACCCTTTGGATTCAAATATTCAACCAATTCCTAATCCAGTTAAAAGTAGCAATGCCTAGCCCAGGCATGGGCCAACTTCGGCCCTCCCTCCAGTGTTTTGGGCTTTGGAATTGAAGTCCAAAACACTGGAGGGAGGGCCGAAGTTGGTCCATGCCTGGGCTAGCTACATTTTACTGTACTTTGTATTGTCGAAGGCTTTCATGGCCAGAATCACTGGGTTGTTGTAGGTTTTTCTGGGCTATATGGCCATGTTCTAGAGGCATTTTCTCCTGACGTTTCGCCTGCATCTATGGCAAGCATCCTCAGAGGTAGTGAGGTCTGTTGGAAGTAGGAAAATGGGTTTATATATCTGTGGAATGACCAGGGTGGGGCAAAGGACTCTTGTCTGCTGGAGCTAGGTGTGAATGTTTCAACTGACCACCTTAATTAGCATTTGATGGCTTGACAGTGCCTGGGGGAATCTTTTGTTGAGAGGTGATTAGATGTGCCTGATTGTTTACTCTCTGTTGTTTTGCTGTTGTAATTTTAGAGTTTTTTTAATACTGGTAGCCAGATTTTGTTCATTTTCATGGTTTCCTCCTTTCTGTTGAAATTGTCCACATGCTTGTGGATTTCAATGGCTTCTCTGTGTAGTCTGACATGGTGGTTGTGAGAGTGGTCCAGCATTTCTGTGTTCTCAAACAATATGCTGTGTCCAGGTTGGTTCTCAGGTGCTCTGCTATGGCTGACTTCTCTGGTTGAAGTAGTCTGCAGTGCCTTTCATGTTCCTTGATTCGTGTTTGGGCAATGCTGCTGTGTTTGGTGGTCCCTATGTAGACTAGCTCCAGCAGACAAGAGTCCTTTGCCCCATCCTGGTCATTCCTCAGATATATAAAGCCATTTTCCTAGTTCCAACAGACCTCACTACCTCTGAGGATGCATGCCATAGATGCAGGTGAAATGTCAGGAGAAAATGCCTCTAGAACATGGCCATATAGCCCCAAAAAAACTTACTTTGTTGAAGGCCATACAGCCCTCCGAAAATGGCTCGATTGCACGCAATCCCAAAGCGAGCTATTTTGGGGTAAAAATTAACTTCCCAATCCTCTTGGTCTAATTCCATTCCCTTGTAAATGACATTCCAAAGGCTTTGTGTCACATTAACCACTCAGGGTCATTGATGTCTCCACAAGATATGGGGGGAAAGAATCCCCTTAAACAATTAAGAAGGCTGAATTGCTGCTGTTGCATGCCTTGAAGTCTTTTTCGACTTGTAGAGTTTGTAAGCTTGAACCTCTTAGGAGTTTTTCTTGCATTAGAGAGAAAACAAGACTTATTTGTCTTTGTAGTTACTTACTTAAGCAATCCCTCATTATCCGAGTAGGGTTGTCTTCCAAGATCAGCGTCCTGGCGGTGGGTCCGTAGGTGACTGTGGAGCCCTATTCTTGATCTGCATGTTCTCCCGCAGTGAGGGCATTGCTTTCAAGGTGGAAGATGGTCTTATTGGCACATTTCTCTTCTTTCGCCCTCCATTCATGCCTCTTCAAATTCTACAGCACTGCTGGTCACAGCTGACCCCCAGCTGGAGCGCTCAAGGGCCAGGGCTTCCCAGTTCTCAGTGTCTATGCCAGAGTTTTTAAGGTTGGCTTTGAGCCCATCTTTAAATCTCTTTTCCTGCCCACCAACATTCCGTTTTCCGATCTTGAGTTCGGAGTAGAGCAACTGCTTTAGGAGATGGTGGTTTGGCATCTGGACAACATGGCCGGTCCAGCGGAGTGGGTGGCGGAGGACCATTCCTTCAATGCTGGTGACCTTTGCTTCATCCAGCATGCTGACATTTGTCCGCTTGTCTTCCCAAGAGATTTGCAGGATTTTTTGGAGGCAGCGCTGATGCAATCCTTCTAGGAGTAGCATGTGACGTCTGCAGATAGTCCATGTCTCATAGGCGTATAGCATGGTTGGGAGGTCAATGGCTTTATAAACAACCACCTTGGTCTCCCTATGAATGTCCCGGTCCTCAAACACTCTCTGCTTCATTCAGAAAAATGCTGCACCCGCAGAGCTCAGGTGGTGTTGTATTTGTCTTTGTATGGAAGGATGAAATCATCAAGGGTTTTCATCCTTGCCTGGGACTAGAAAGTGGAGATCAATTCTGTGCCTTTGAGGCTTGTGTAGAAGAGCGAGTGCTTGCAAGACAAGCAACATTTCTAGACATTCTTTCCTTTACACAACCATTACATGCGCAGGTTGTCATGGTTTTTGCATGTCTTGAAGTCATCTGGCCATAAGACAACTATATCATCGAGTTTTCTTGGTCGGATTTGTTCAGAAGGGATTCCTTTGAGGCTGAGATAGTGTGACTTGCCCCAATTGATTTTGTGACTGAGTGAGAATTCGAATGTCAATCTGCAGGATCTGAGTCCAACACTCAAATCACACCAGTTTTCACACTTGCAGGTATTCTGTTCCATTCTACCATCTGACTAGATATTCCATATATCTGGATATTTTTGATTATTTTTTTTATCTCTGGTGTTGATGAGAAAAGGGAGAACATTTCCAAAGGTTACTTAAGATGCATCTACAAGGGAGCCCCCAGTGGCACAGTGGGCTAAACTGCTGAGCTGCTCAGCTTGTTGACCAAAGGGTCGCAGGTTTGAATCCAGGGAGTGGAATGAGCTTCCGCTGTCAGCCCCAGCTTCTGTTAACCTAGCATTTGAAAACATGCAGATGTGAGTATTTATTATTTATTTATTTCATGTACTTCTACCCTGCCCTTCTCAG